GGTGGTGTTGTCTACATACAGACACTTGTATTGTTTACGTATAGCGTTAGGCCTTTTTTTTTCTCTGTTTGCTGCGTCTGACCGACCCAAATTTTGGACATTAATTTTTCCAAACAAGAAAGACTGACGTGGTTGAACCATTTCCCCCTTGAAATAATTCTTGTAATCCGGAAAATGAGCACAGTAAGAGCATAGAGAAAAACAGTAACAAAACCAGGAACATGTCTTTTTTAATCCAAGTATGTAAGTGTTAACTTTAGCGTAGTCCTTGTGTTGGCACAACAAAACAAGAGGGCTTACCGTTCCTGGAGCTAATGTGTCCAGGTACATTTTTTCAGCCCGTTCCTCGTCCCCTGCCGCATCACTCAACGTGGCGGTGAAGTTTTGGATTAAGGAGGAGTTCTCTGGGAATGTGATATTGAGGAAAACGTCCCCTTCCGGGGCGAGCCCTGTGGAGTGAAAACCATATTTTAAAATTGCACATTTCATTGACTCAGACTTTAAAAAAATGTAAACACATCGCTTCAATCAATGTAGTCCACAACGTTAGTTGTTGTTCAGCCTGTAATAAAAGTATAAGAAATGAAGCCATACCTGAGTGTTCACTGGCCATTTCACTTGGGGCGAGTGAAAATTTTTCCCCTTGCTTCCAAATTTATATCACGCCACAAAGATTTTCCCGCCTTTTCTGCTTGGCGGACGCCGCGCATTATTACTTCCCGCCATTTTCATTTGAAGAGAGGGCGCCCGTCGGTAAATTTTTATAACAATCAAAAACAAGTTTTATTCATTTCATACAATGTAATGCAGACATTACTCACATGCCTTAATTTAACCAGGAGTTATCAAGCCAGCAGTGTCGGAATACTGCTCTATTATTTTTTTTACGTACAAGTGGACCACCCCTGAAGTGACTGACCAGCCCTCCAAGCGGCGTAGCTGGTCCACTTGACCATCCGTTAAGTGGCCGCCATTCTCCATAGCCGTTGTTAATACAAATCTTGTTGCGAAGCCCTAAAGAAGAGAACAGGAGTCTGATTGTTCAGTCCATCTATGAAACTCCATTTGCGCCAATAAGATATGTGAGTAAAGTCTGCATTACATGGTATAAAATGAATATTTAAATACTTGTTATTAATCGTTATGATTTACTTGTCTTTTGCCGCCCATGCAGTGTCTGCAAAGTGCATTGCATGGAATTGGTAAAGACAATTATCAAGTGGCATCAGTTATCGGTCATTTGCTTTTGGTTGTGGCGTTAACTTTTGAATGATCACTGTTGCCTATTGAACATGTTTCACATAACTGGACAAGTCCACAAATTGCTAGGGGGCATTAAATTTGGTAAACGATGCAGGCATACTTACAGATCTATATCATCTGTGCGAGAGCTCCCTCGCATCAAATCCTGCATCCTGGACACTATTGTTGATCATTGTGCCCATCTGCAGGCCATTTAGCTGTGGTGACTGAATACAAGAATGTTTGAAAAAGAACACATCATTATGCGCAAAATCAAGGAGATATTATGAAGGAAGGTACCATATCTTCCCCCCTCCCCCCGCAACAAAAGAGAAACCTTTGCCCCGCCAACTCTATTAGGAAGATGTGATCTCAGTCAATTTATTTTATAAACAGTGTTTAAAAATAAATGTTAATGTCGTAACGTAGGAGAGATTACTATCACATTGTTTTCTGCCAACCAAATGTACTGGAAGATTTGATCTCACCTTAAGTGTCTGCGTCGACGTATCCATCTGGCAGAAGAGCGGCCAATCTCCTACCCCCTACCTCATTGGGAAATCCCGGCTCTCCCAGGCCTCAATTGGATCTTTAATGAATACCCTGCACCTTGGTAAATGGAGAAAGCCTAACGCAACGGGGCAGTATGCAGGGCTTCCATCTTTGAGGGGGGAGTATGTGAATACTCGACTATGCAGAAAGAGAAGCAGTGTTTGAAAATCAATTTGTACAAAGAAATGAGACAAATGTAACAACAAACGACAATACCGTGTTGGCTGTAAGAGTGCATTTTTGGGAATACATTTCCCGAGGATTTGCGTGACTGCCAACAAAGGAATTTATTCAAATATAGATGGGAACGATTGCTTGCCACGTTTTTAATTTCTTTCTACAAACCTAGGTTAGATTAAATTATTTTATCAAAGGTTAGTATCTAGGTTTCCTTTACCCAATTGATATTAAGTAATATGTCCAAAAGTGATATTAACTCAAAACCATTGATAGATATACACATATCTCATTTATTTTAACTCAGCTTCATTAGAGAAAAACTAAACATCTCCGTCTCTCTCTATTGCAATTTTCAAAGGCCCTTTTTGAGGCCCTCATATTTGGAGGTGCTTGTATATGGAGGAAGTTTGCATTCACTGAAGGACTTTTTATCTTTACCTGTGTGCCATGTTATTTGCCTCAGGTTTTTCATGTCGGAAAACAATCTCCATGGTCATACCATGGTGTCCGGTTTGTGATGTTAATGGACCCTAAAAGTGGAGATAACTTTTATGAGTACGGGTGGAAATGCAACTAAGTACTACTTAAAGACTTCGCTGAGGTCTCCTGGGATGGAAGATGTCGGAGGTTGTCTCTTCATTGCAAAGGAAACCGGTAACTTACTAACAAAGCTGGAAATTGGTTTGTGCATCATTGTATCAATGGAGCGCCCAAGGTGAATGAGTGTCGAGTCTCAAAGTCAAAAATGTAATGCACCAAAAGCACAAAGTAACAAATTATTGTAGTCAGGGTTGCTATGGTCAGGGAAAGTCAGGGAAAAATGAAAAAGCAAAGAAGCTAACGTCTCCAAGTACATTCTCTTTGCACGGTCGGCGTCGCCTGCCGCATCTGTCAAGCTGGGGTGAAACTGACAATGAGCGCGCTGTTCTCCAGGAGGGTAATGTTGGAAAAAATGTCCCCTTCTGGGGCGACCCCTGTGAAGTGAAACCGTATTTTAAAATGGTTCATTTAGTTGACACAGACTGTCAGAAAATTGTCAACAAATCGCCTCAATTATTTAATGTAATGGAACTTTACAAAATAAGAACGTAAAAGTATAATATTATTTACATGATAAAAATTAGATTACATTAGAATGTAAATTTTTAAGTGTATCGCTTTGTGTGTGGCTAACTTTGGATTCTATACAATAAGCAGCTAAATGAGTCCTCTTAAAATTCAGGTCATTTTTACAGTCATAAAAAATAATGTAATTCTAAGTGATTTTAGTATTTGCCTTGTAAAAAGACCCCCTCTTCATGATATTATATATTATTTACATTGTCTGCCTAGGAACACTATCCCCTTTGGTCCACTTAAAAGGTAACTGGTGTGGAATACGAACCAATTAGTGTATAGTGTAATATATATAACTTATCACAGGCATTCATCATAAATAGAATCCTTCATAGTAAAGACATATTCAACACAAAAGAAGAGTGTGATTTCACAAATTTTATTCAGCTATATTTCGACAGGATACACTGGCCATCCTCAGGGTAAATGACCTGAAAATGCATAACACGCCACTATGTTACAGTTAAAAGAAGATTAAAACAGTGATAGTGAAAATGAATAATAATGGCAATGATGATGATAATAATAATAATAATAATAATAATAATAATAATAATGTAATAATAATAGTGCGATTCAATTCGCGCCAAATTATTTGTTTAGAGTAGTTCTTGTTAACATTGTTTTATTTCCATTGTTTTTTGACTTTATAAATATTTTTAGCACTTTTCACATTTTTACATATTTTATCACATTTTAGCGTTCACCACATTTTAATCTATTATAACTTGTTTTTAACTTATTTATGCTAATTTAGACAACTTTTATACACTTGAAAATGACCTCGGAGAGGTCGAAACGTCGTGATTTTTTATCGCTAATATTTATCTCAAAATCGATTTCTAAGAAACTACTTATTAATAATAATAATAATGATAATAATAATAATAATAATAATAACAATATAATAACAATAATGATAGTAAATAGTAATAGGAGATAATTAAAAAGAAAGGAAATTGTGTTGAAAGTGCTATGCATGGGCTGTGACAATAATACCTACTCACATGCAGAGACCCTGATCCTTGTAAAGGAGAATCCTGCTCTTTCATATAATACACAGAAATTCTTTTTGTCCATTGTAGTTAGAGCAAGCTTTGCCTGCACCCCAGGATGGACCTCCATGTGCCATATATGAGAAAAAGATATCTCGCATCATATTATTGACTTGAGTTGGAAAACAATGTAGCTGTGTCGTAATTGTATCACTTTACAGCAAAGGGGCTTGGAAAAAAATCCTGTGAAGGAAAAGGCTTTTTTGTATCTGCATAAAACTTTTTAAGTTTGCAATTTTTAATTTAATTTAGTACCTTTGGCAATAGCAGAGATCTTCTTTTTCCCTTTGATATCCACTGAAATAAAAAAAAACCTTTTTGGACAAGAAGACGACCCAACAATTTGCTACGCTTCCATCTCCTTTGGTCTATGTTTGTCAGTGTCCTTGATGTTCATAGGTGGTTGATGTTAAGTGGTTGTTGTTTGGTGTGCAACACATAAATTATAAAAGAACGGGTATATGAATAATATTAACTTAATATAATCAGGAAAGGAAAATGAAAAGAGTTTTCCAAAAATTTTCCCCACATTTTTAATAGCTAATCAAACCTGATCCTATATTATTGACTTGAGTTGGAAAACAATGTAGCTGTGTCGTAATTGTATCACTTTACAGTAAAGGGGCTTGGAAAAAAATCCTGTGAAGGACAAGGCTTTTTTGTATCTGCATGAAAATTTTTAAGTTTGCAATTTTTTAAACAACTGACTACATGTGAAGTATCGATTGTTGAATTTGTATGTTGCAGTGAACTACTTTGAAGGGCAGCTGGTGTTTCTAACCCGAGGTAATCCAAAATATGTTTGAAGTCTTGATAGAAGAGAGGCTTCTTCTGCGGAATGTCCACTTCTCCCACCTACTTCCTCAGATATTTTATGAGGCTCTTTCCTTGCTCTGGATGGGCACTTGCTGGGCTAGGATGTTTATTTGAAAGGTGCTAGAAAGTTGAAGAAATTTATTGATGATGAAATAATACCTATCCATGAACATGCAGAGACCCCCAAAAATGTAATTTATTATTCTCGGAAAGGACAATCCTGCTCTGCCACATGACATGCAGAACGCCTTTATGTCTAACAGTGCCAGTGGAAGCTTTGCCGGCTCCCCTGGATGGTTGTCCTGGTGCCATACCAGATACAGGTTTGTGGCATCTGTGATTGACTTCAGCTGGTAAACAGTATAATTGTGTGGCAATTGTTACTTTTCTGTAAAAGGGTAAAAAAAAATTCTGTCAAGGACAATGATTTTTTTTGTAAACACAAGTAACTTTTCAAGTTTGCAACGTGATTGATTGAAGATACACTTTTAGCAGCTGGTGTTTTTTTAAATGGACTATAAATGAAATATCATTTTTTTATTGTTGTACTTGTATGTTGGAGTGAACTAATTGATAGTGTGTAAAAATGACAGTACCACTTCACATTTCTTACTGTTCCTGGTGCCACCCACGTCGTAGACCTTACTTATGTCCAGGTGGGCCACATCTTCGGGGATCTCTTCCTCCCATTCCGCCAACATGGCCAAGATATCATGACAATAGTGTCCTTGTTGTTTTCTGTAATTTAAGAGTAAGATAACAGCAAAGTTAGCAATTCCCATCGATTCCAAATCATCATCATGACTTGAGTAGAAATAAATCTAATCACTAGTGTATCCAAAAGATAATAATTGCCGCGGTAAATTTGTTGTTATATCAAGCAAACACAAGGCTGTTTTATCATGTCATTAGTTATAATTTTTTTGGAAGCTGTTTTATTAGACCACAGCCTTGTGTTTGTTTGGTTACTTTATCTGTTACTGGAAATGTAATAGGTTTAAAGTAGGCCATAAATTATTGACGTTGATATACTGTTGCTATGGTAACTTAGAATAACATCTAGCAGCATTTTTTGATTCACTGGTAGTTAGGCAAATGAACATTCACAAAATTTAGCAATCATAGTCCGTGGTGGTTTTTGGACATAAAATACA